ATTAATATTAGCAGACATGTGTATTTGAGTATATTAAAACTCTGAAAACACTATTGTCTACTAGCTCTGAATACTTCTAGGATCCGTGTACTTCTTCCACCAGTGCACTGACCATCATGGCTTTCAGCTCCATGCTGTTGGGCGAAACAATGCGGCCGCCATATTGGAAAGTCTTCTTTAGGTTCTGCTCGCACGCTTTAGCGATACCTGTCATATCGGAAGAACACGTTACGTGCCAGATGCTTCGGCGGCAGATTTTCACACGTCAAGTGTGTGTCTGTGTGTTTTACCCTGATACTGTGCCCCAGCGCTGCGAGAGGCCTGCTGCAGGTATTTCAGGAGGAAAGGCTTGAGGACTTCAGAACAGCGATGGTAAGCAGTCAGGATGTACAGCAGCCTCCAGCCGTGCTGGCAACTGTCGCTGTGGAGAACAGGAGAGAGACGCAGACACACGTAGGATTGCCCGTGAAGAAAGAGAAGCGCGTTGTGCGTTGGTTTGTGATGTGTAACGTGCGGTGGTGAGCAGACTCACGGTTTGGAGCTGGTGTTGGCAGTAAGCTGTTTGATGAGCTGGCAGTAAGCCTCATCCCTCATCAAGGTGAACTCTCCTATGAGCTGAGGACACACACACACACACACACACACATGAGCAAACTGTCAAAGAGGAAACGGCAGTGCACGACATAATTCTGTGTGTACTCACCTTGAGGAAAGTGCTGACCACCTCGTGCTCCGTCAGTCCCCTTGACGGTGAATCGCCCATGAAACGCATCGCCACTGCACAAAATACACAAGGAGGCACACGCAAGAGCATCTCTTGTTAGAAGAGGACGACTTAAGAGCAAAGACGTAACAGAAGCGTAACGCGATGAGAAGAACTCACACATGAAGAGATCAGCCGCCACTCTGTTCATGGCGGCATCAGTGAACTCTATCAGAGACTCGGTCAGAGGCGTCTGAAGAGGAGGAGCACACTGTGAGGAAAGTGTTATATAGACCTAACAGACCCTGAAACCACACGGAGACTCGAGGAGAGAGTTGGTGTGTTAAGATTCTGTGAGTTATAATAGAACAGCACCTTAGAGAACCTGATCATTTCACTGGGCTCCCTGGAGTCTCTGCTCTTGCCTCTGCTCTTCAGGGAACCTCTGATGAGACAATCAGTGACAGAGTGAACACTTGAAATTAAAAAAAGCTGCGGAAAGAGAGCTGAGATAATTCACTTCAATAAAAACAGTGATTCCCTGTTATAGAAATACAACATTACAAGAGGCACAATTCATTTAATTCCACGAAGGTGCAGAAGCAATTAAATTAAACTGACTCTAATGCACTCACGATTCAGACTGTCGCCAGCCAGTGTTGTGTTATCATCTACGTATTACATAAGTTTGAGAAATGAGATGGAGCTGATTTCAACCACTTCATATACTGCTGGGTAATTTAATCCGGACTGTCGTGCATCATATTCTACAGAATAATATGCTTTGAACGTAACAAACAATCCACAGGTGTTTCCTGATGAGACGTCTGATTGACAGCTCCACTCTCCTGCTCATTTTCACTGGTTGACCTGTTATCAACAGAATCCCTGTTATCACAGCTGGAGGCAGCGGATCGACTTTGTCACCGTCTCTGAGTATGTGTGTTTGTGCGAACGGGTAAAACTTGGGAGGGTTTCTCCAGACGATTAACTTTTATAGCTTTGATGGGTCAATAGAGACAATGTAAAACTTATATCGATTGGAAATTGATTCTCCCTTACATGAAGAAATCAGAATTAAGTCAGAAAGTTAAGTCATTATTTCAAGTATTGGAATGATTTAATCCTGACATCACTAAAAAGTCACATGTGTAGTAATGCTTTAACTTTTACAGACCCAGTAAAGCTTATTGAGAATCATGTGTCCTCATATTGTATAAATAATATATCATATATGAAAAAGATAGCATTGTCTGATGAGAGTACATACAACATGCAGTATGAAATGTTTTTTTAATTCGCACATCAATAATTTCCTGACTCTGTCTAATGAGCCACAGTATTTAAACACAACTATGATCTATTTCTCTTACACCAGGAGTATAAAGTATTTAAAAACTATACTTCTGAACAGACGTTGGGTAAATGTACTTCAGTAATTTCTACCAGTAGATAAAAACAAACGAGATGATGTGTGTGTGTGTGTGTGTGTGTGTGTGTGAGTTTTCCATGTGTTTGTTTACATGAGTAGATTTTATCACTTTGTCTCACCCCTTCCCGCCGGGTCCCTGTCTGAAGTATTTCCTGGCAAATTCCACCATGTCATATTTACTGTCCTGCAGGGCCCTCTCATCCAGATCTCCATCAGCGAATCCATCGAGGGAAACTTTCTGAAGGGCAAAGATAGACAGTGAAAAACAACCTGACCACTTCAGTTTGACAGACGGCTGCATGAGTGTGTGTGTGTGTGTGTGTGTGTGTGTACCTCAATCGTCTGATCTATCTCATGTGCGGCCATGGTGGATGCCACGGCAACAGCAACGGCTGACGACACAGCAAACTGTCCCGCTCCTCCGCGAGGCTCAGCCTTACGGTCCAGTGGCAGTGACAGGAAGTCAGGGGGAGCAACGGGATGGACGCACTCGGCCGGAAATGCACCAGAGCGGCCGAACACAGCGCCGAACTTCCAACCTAACACACACACACACACACACACA